TAATTTAACTTAATAAGTATAGTTATTTTAATATTAAGTAACTTTATATTAAGGATTTATATAATCTTTTAATATAAACCTTTATAATATAAAATTTACTAGTTTATAATAAGTAAATACTTATACTTTAAAGCTTTATTTAATTTATATTTAATACTTAGTTTAACTAGTAAATTATAATCCTTAAATTACTTACTATTTTTATAATATTAAACTTATAGTTTTATAGCTAAAAGTACTATACTTTTTAAACACTTATATTTATAAAAATAAGCTTATTTAGCTTTATACCTTTAATATATAATATTATAATCTTTAGCTTTTTATAAATAATAAAATAATTAAAGATACTTTATTATTTAGTTAAAAAAGGATTTTTTTTACTTAAAGTATTAGTTTATACTATAAGTTTATAAACTTTATAAATTAAAAGAAATTAATTTTAAGTATTATAATTATAAATTAAGTTTTCTAAATATTAATAGCTAGGTAAATTTAATATTTATAGTGCCTTTTATTAACTCTTTTATATTTTAGTAGTTTTTATTATTATAACTTAGTTAATTAAAATATTAAATGCCTTTAACTATAATTATATTAATTAAATATACTTATTTTTATAAGTTAAATACTTAAATTATTATTATTATTTACTAAGGTTTTATTATATATTAAAGAATAAACCTAGCACTTAAATTAGTTAAATAAAAAGATAAGAAAACCTTATAAAGGAGTTATAGTAAAGTATATAATATATAAAAAATAAAATAATAATTCTAAGCTAAATAATTAATTAAAAAAGTATAATAAATATAACTAGCTATGCTTTTTATATTATAAAATATAACTAATCTTAGCCTTTAACTTAAAACTCTTTTTTAATATAAAGATTAAAGGATTTTTTTAATTTCTAGTCTTAATTTTTAAAGTAGTTAATGCCTTTTATTAATTAATTATAAAAAAGGCACTGCTTTTCTTTTATAAAAATATTTACTAAATATCTCTCTTTTAGCTTATTTATTAGCCTTTTCTTTTTTTTTATAATTTTCTACTACTTAAATTTATTTAAGCGCTTCTTTTTTATTTTTATAATTATATATAGACTTTTATTATTATAAAGTATTACTTTAAGTACTTTTTTATTATTATATATATTTTTTAAATACTTTATTTAGCATTCTTAACCTTTAATTAAATACTTTTTTATTTATACTTACTAAAAGCATTTTAAATATTAAAAAGAATAAGAGAATTTACTAAAATATTTCTTATTAATATACTATATAAATCCTTTTATTAGAAAGAAATTCTTATATAATAAGTAATATATTAATTATTTTATCTTAAATTAAATATTTAATATATATATCTTATTATAAGTTTACTTAATATAATTACTTTATATATATAAATTAGCCTTAATCTTAAACTTACTTAATTTATAATATTTATACTTTAAGTAAAAGAAAAAGGCCTTAAAGTTATAAATACTTTTAATATATTTAATAAGTAAAGACTTATTAATAAATATACTATAGCTAAAAAAGTATTATAGCTACTTAAATATTTTAGGTTATAAAAGTTTAATTATAGTATTAATATTTTTATTACTTTTTTATATATATCCTTTTAAGTATATTATAATCTTATTTAAAAGTATTATAAAAGGCTATTTATTTATAAATAGTAAAAAAAGGTTTTTAATATTATTATTACTATTTTAAAAAAAGACTTATTATAAGTTAATAATAAAAGAGTTATATAAATATATTATTAATTTCCTTTATACTTATAATTAATTAACTTTTATAAAATAAGTTTAATATTTTTTAATTAGTAAAAGTTTTTTTAAGTAGTTATATATATATTAAAGCTATTTTTAAATCTTCTTTTCTTTTTTAAATTTTAGCCTATATTTACTATATATAGTAGTTAACTTTTATCTTAAAGCTATTATATTTTTTTATTTTTTAAACCTATTCTTCTCTTACTTAGTAATATAAAAAGAGGCATTAAGGTTTTATTATAAAAAAGCCTTAAATATAATAGTTTATAAGGTATTATATTATTAACTATACTTATTAAAAGTAATTTCTAATAGCTTTTTTTATACTTAAACTAGCTAATAGAATTTTTTAAAAATATTTATTAAGTTTAAAAGGATATAGTTTTAAATAGCTAAAGTTAGGCTTTTTATAAAGAATAAAAAAGTATTAATAAAGGAAAAAAATAAATAAATTACTATAAATATATTAACTTATTATTAAGCTAGCCTTTAGCACTTACTTTTAATATATAAGGCTGTTTTCTTTTTTAAAACCTTATAATAAAATATATATAGTTTTAAATATTTAGGAATTTTTTATAAAATATTAAAATAATTACTTTTTTCTCTTTAATAATCTTATTATTTTAATTAAGCTATATATATTTTATACTACTTTTAAAAGGCCTAGGCTATAAGACTTATTTATATAAATAGTATCTAGCTTTAAAAGTATTATTAATAATAGCCTTAGCTATAAAAAGAGTAATAAAATAAAGCAGTTTATATAATATAAGTATTATAAAAAAGTATAGTTTATTTTTTTATAAAAAGATATTAGCTAAATTAAAGCCTAAGTAAAAAAAAGTAGTTTAAGTTATAGTATATAAAGCGCTAATCTTTTTAAATATAATTCTACTTTTACTTAATATAGTAAATAGTAATAAATATAATTAGCTAAGTCTTAAATAAAACTTTTAAGTCTTTTACTTAAGTAAGCTTAATATTTTTATAAAAGATATTTATAAAGCTATTTAGCCTTTAGCTATTAATACTACTTAAAAAAGTAATATAATAAAATATAAAATATATATTAAGCTTATAAGATATATATCTTGCCTTTATTTAAATTATATTAAAGTAAATAATTATATCTTTTATTATTATTTTAAATTTCTTAAAACTTTACTTAAAAAAAAGACTAAGTTTATAAGCTAAATATAGAATTTATTAAGTATAATATAACTTATTAATACTTTATAAAATACTTTAAAAGACTTTAAAAAAAAGTAAAAAAAATACTAACTTAAGCTATTTTATAAGCTAGATTATAATTACTATTAATATTATTAAAAAAAAAAAAAGTATTAAATAAATATATTAGCTAGATTTTTACTTTACTTTACTTTTAATACTTTATTATTAGCTTTATTAATAAAAAGAGTTTATATATCTTTAATTATAAAAGCATTTTAAATAGTTTATACTTTTATATACTTCTCTAGGCTTAGGTATAGGCATTTTATAACTAAGCTATTAATATATATTCTTAAAAATATTTAGAATATTAATTAAGCTTAAACTTACTTTTCTCTTTTCTTATTATAAAGGTTAATTTAAAGACTATTAAGGTCTAGACCTATACTTAAAGTAAATTTAAATAATTATATTAATAATTAGCACTTATTTAAGAGTAACTAAAGCTTTAATAAAAGGAAGGAGTGCTATATTATTATTAATTCTTTTAGATTTTATTATAATATTATTATATATATTAGTTTATATATAAAGCTTTATTAAATAAGCTTACTTAATATTATATAAAAGTAGCTAAAGTAGCCTTTTTATTAAAAGCCTATTAGTAAGGTTATTTAAAAGAATAAGGTTTTATAAAAAGACTAGAATAGTTATTTAAAAAAGTTAAAAAGATAGTAGTAGCTATAATAATAATTAAAATAAGAATTTATAATAGTAAATATAAAAATAAATATAAAAAAAAAAGATAAGTTATAATTATAAATATATAAAAGATTTATATAGCTTATAAAGAATAAGGCTATAAAAAGCATATAAGTTATTAAAAGTACTAGAATTAAATAAAATATATAGCACTTATTCCTTTTAAAAGGGATATATTAAAGAAAAGGTTAATAATTATATAAAAGGTATAGCTAAAAGGAGGGGGGGGGGAGTATATATTAAAGGCTAAAGAGAAGGTAAGGTAAATAAGGCCTTATAAGGAAATAGAGTTAGCCTTAGATAGCCTTTACTTTATTTTTATTAAATAATAAAGGGCTAGTTTAGTAGATCTTTAGGCTAGTTTAATAACTAGGGGAGGTTCCTTATCTGCTCTTTTAAAGTTAAGCTAATAAGAGGTAGATTAGTAGTTAGGTAGGTAACTACTAGCGAACACCAGCTGTTATATGTTGTTTTCTTTTTACACTTGTATTCTAATAGGTATGAAGAGTATTTGCAGAGGCAAATGGCTGCTTGTGTTAGTGGGAGATTACGTGTGTTGCCGATTCTTTTTTTAGAGTACACCCGAAAAGCAGCGGATACAACGTGATCACTGCGGTTTCTAGGCCTCAGAGGAAAGCTCCGCTAGGTTGGAGTCTTCGTCAGCTTCGATTGTTCGGTTTCCATTATCTCCCGTATCTGATCTGCTGTAAGATGATACTTCGTCTAATGCATCCACTCACACAAGAATTGAACTTTGTCCAGCAGATTGAAACCCCCTCAGCATCTCGTCTAACCTTGATAGCGCCCATGGAAGAACATGGGGAAGTGCGGGGTTTGCTGTGTTTCGTTCTCCCCGCTAACTAACTGGGGTATCTCAGTGCCGAGTCAACCTAGGTTGTCGGCTGCCTTTTCCTATTACTGAACTGTTGCCAAGGCAAGCGGCTATAATAAGAGAAGAGAGAATCTTCAAAATATCAGCATACATAATTATCTGATAGGCACACTGATTAGAGACTAGACTGTATGACTTGGCTGCTTATTATGTTCGCATGTATGCGCATATGCTTCTGCAACTTGGTACAACCGCTTGCCTTGGTATAACGGATGCATGTACAAAGAGATAGTCGTCGACTTTACCGATCACCGCCTGCATTCGCGGCTCATAAGTATCAAATGCTTCATTCTATACCAGCTCCCCTGAGAACAGGGCCGTATTCTATAGAGGTCAATATCGACCCTCAAAGGACTCTGAAAAAGCCATTGCATCGATCCCAACATGTCCCTATCACCGACGTTTACACGCTCTCCTCCAGAGATAAACATTGCCAAAATATCTTTCCCGGCTCCTCGGGTACTTCTCGTAACAATTTCACGTCCCAAGGCCCTCAACGCCATTGCCATTTCAGGTAGCTGGGAACTCGCCTCGCTCTTCGAATGGTTCGACGAGGAGCCCTCGCTATGGGTCAGTATCGTAACGGGAGAAGGCCGTACTTTCTCAGCTGGTGCTGATCTGAAGGGTAAGTCGGGATATTGCGCCGACTTAACGTCACTACTGCTGACAATGATCACGCTGAAGCGTGGAATGACGAGATCGGGTCCGGCAGCTTTGGAGAAATGCCGTCCTCGGGGTTCGCTGGTCTCTCACGTCGAACTGGAAAAAAGCCCGTCATAGCTGCAGTCAACGGGATAGCATACGGAGGAGGCTTCGAGGCGGTGGTCAACTGCGACCTCGTTATTGCTAGTGCTACGGCAAAGTTCTGCTTCCCGGAGGTGAAGCGCGGTGTGGCCCCCTTTGCGGGAGCAATGCCTCGTCTGGTCCGCACAATAGGAAAGCAGCGCGCGATGGAACTGATGTTGACGGGCCGCGTCCTTCCGGCCCGGGAGGCCAAGGAATGGGCACTTGTTAATGTGATTTGCCCCGAAGGACGAGATGTGGTGGATGAAGCCTTAAAGTGGGCGAAAGTTATTGCCGAGAACAGTCCCGATTCTGTTATTGTCACCAAGCAAGGCATCAATTGGGGCTGGGAAGGTGTCGGCGCTGATGACGGGACTCGCATCAGTAATAGCCTGTGGCATCATAAGCTATTGGCTGGAGATAACATCAAGGAGGGTTTGAAGGCGTTTGTGGAGAAAAGAAGCCCGAGGTGGACTGATAGCAAGCTGTAAATAACTTAGTCGAGACATGATCAGATGTGAAATTATCTGGAGTAAATGAGTGATGTTGGCTGTTGATTCAATGAGTGGTATGGGACACAACGCAACTGGATCCTCGCATCAAACACAACACCCGTCATAGTTTAAGAAGATCGAGCAAAGATACTATAGTCCAGGGGCAACCTTTCTCCCATCCAAATGGCCCGTTGAGAGTGGTCGCGATATCCAGACTCAGCAGACGAGACTCCGTCCTCGGGGATCGTATTGGGGTGAATCAAAGCAGACAGGGGCCCTCGCCAGACTGCAAGCCAAGCCACAAATGCTCCGAACTGCGCGGGAGTGAAGACGTTGACTTCAAACATGGCGACGGGATGGGGGCCGATTGGTCGATCCCAGAAGGTGTAAATTCTCAGCTCCGGGACTTTGCATCGAGATTTCCAGTTAGTACACCTCAGTGATAGGGTACTCAACAAGACATCTTATAAGGAGTATGTACTTACACTCTCGCCGGATGCGTTCCCAAAGCTCGCGTGCGTATTGGGCTTGCTCTTTGTTGCTCTGGAAATAATATATGTGGATATCGCTGATTGGTATGTCGAGTTAGCGTCAGACGAAACAAGCATACTGGAAAGCATTCAAGAGTAAAAATGACCGGTACTACTCACAAGCCGCCTCTTCGTCCGTTGTCAAGAGGATCAGTGAAGCGGCTATAAGCCTCGCTCAACTGCTCGCGCTTCGGATTGACAAAGCTCTTCCCATCCTCATTCTTCTCATCTGACAATGGCGGGGCATCTTCAAAGCCAGCGAGAGGTGAAGGATATGTGTATTTCAACGGGTTTGCCATTGTTGCTTTACTGTATAAAATTCGAGTGTGGATGGATGAAAATAGTTTGATGAGGTTGAACTTGACGCAAGCTGTGACGCTGTGAGGAGTTGGATGGCGTGCTTGTCGCTACAGAAGGGACCTGATCGGGTGTACAGCGCTTCGGAAGCTTGTCGTATTACCGAGTGGGCGGGTATTGTCGGGCTCGATAAGTTATCTTGATCAATGTGACGATCTCTACGAGAACCTCTGAGGGATTCGTCCTTGGAGGATTACACTTCTGATGAAGTTTACAACAGTGGAAATCTGGGACAAGTATTTATAAGTGCAATAAATCGTGTCATCTGGTGGAATCTAGTTGACACAGAAGCTGATGATTCGAGTATTGGCCCCACCACGGAAACAACTCGAGTTGAGACGCAAGTACGACTGCAGCTGCTCTGTTGAGCGTTGATTCCGCTTACTGGTTACAGACATGCATTACAAGAAATTTAATAATTGGGTAACGTAGACGCTTACGGAAAGTCTTGCTTTGTAATATCGAGACGATGATGCTCGCCGTCCCTCGGTGTGTATAGATGAAGTCATCCCATCCCACATGCGCGCCGGTAGTGACATCGGCGAGGTTGGATCACGGCGGTTAAGTTGTGCTTCAGTGTGCTCAGCTACTCATACCAAGGCAAGTTTCGACTGTGGTTATTTTGTGTGAGTGAATCTGTCAACTGCCATTGGCCGCTGGTAGCCAAATAAATGAATCTTCACCCCCGTTGAGTGCCTCTGCAATGATATCATCAAGCCACGCAGCCCCAGTCGCCGATGAGGAGAACAGCGTCAGTCCAGGGAAATCCCATTCGAAGGCGAATTGTTCCGGAACAAAAGAGTCCAGCTCCATTCGACTCTGTATCCAGAAACCAGGTGTCCGCCGAACAGATGCAAAACTGCCGCCATTTGTTGTGCTCGAAACTACTTCGTTGGCTTCGTGGGTGACACTGCTAAACTTCTCGATTCCAGCTTGTAGCAACTGAAGATACTGTTTTCCAGTGTTGCTCCGGCTCCCGTTATTGTTCCCTCCGCTGGCTTCACTCAGCTCAGCCAGGAGGATATTACCATGTTCCACAAGCTCTCTGCTGGTGCGCCCCTTGCTCTCCGGCAACAGAATAGAGAGTTTGAGCAGCAGTACATAGCAAAATGCGCATTTTGCCCAGACAAAGTCCATTGCGAAGCGCAGGTTGCGTATATACAGCCTCGGCTCTTCGATCATGATATCCAGATGCTCCTCCAAGGCATCTTTCGCCATGGCGACAACTGACCTTTGAGCGGGCGACATCAAATCCACATTCTCGACACCAGTCGCCCGCACGACTCGACACAAAGCCATGTTTTCTGCCCAGCACCTTTGCACGCGCAGGTTAACGCTCAGCCATGGAGCTTGAGCGCTGTGTTTCTCGAAGATGTGCTCCCAATCGTCGAACCATAGACCAATGTCAATTCTCGCCTCGCGAACTACGTCCATCATTGTGTCTTCATCGCTGATTCCCATATGGCCAGACAGCGAGTCGTATATCCTGCCACGAACCACATTGAGCTCGACTTGAGAGAACAGGAACAGATCGAGTTCAGTTGCAGCCGGATTCTTCAATATGATACGGCATCTCCGGGAATCTCCCACAAATTTAAAGGTAGGTAGGTCAGCAGCATCGACATGCAATATGTGCCCGAGAACAAAGAGATGAAGCCACGTCCTCACTCTTCGCATCAGGATGATTGTATCTGGATCAACGTTTGCTGGAGGTACTACTCGTGCAGTCGGAGCCACAGACCGATTGACCATCTCGTCGTAAGAACTGGCAAAGTTTAAATCGATAGCCATGCGTGTTGCGGCTGCGACAAGGAGAGATCTCTCTGATGCGTAGCACGAGCGGACTATAAGTGCCTGAATAGTCTCGAGTGATCCCGTAGACGGACTAGCCAGCGCGCAATTCAGCATTCTCTTGACATGGAAATCGAGCATATGCCATTGCTGGGCGTCGGTCCCGGCCACGACGCGGCAGCCAACTGCACATATGGCGCCAAATAGGAGACTGCTTCTCGAGCGAATGCTCTGGAATGAGTCATAACGAGGATCAAACACCGGGACGTAATGGTCACACCCTTGAAAGAAGACGGAGAAGTATCGATGGGCTTGCTCAAGACTTAGCAGGCCAGCATCTAGGCAATCAGGCAATGTCACGGGTCCAAATTCAAAGTTGGACTTGCTGTGTTTTCTGGCAAGGACCGCAGATGTGGACGATTGTGTGTGTGATGGACGTATGAAGCATGCTGAGGCGATACCGTCGGGGCTGACGTGCGCGGCTGGAGTTGAGATAAGTTGTGCCGGTGGGAGAGGAGTATTGTTAACGCCTAACTGGCCGGAATGCGAGTGGCCGGCCTCTGCTTGAGGGATACTTTGTGCCAATGCATCTGCTTGAAGCCTATCTTTGAGCGCCGCAACCTGCTGCTGAAGCTCCTCTATCCGACTACATGTTTGAGACGAGCATAGTCAGTTGCGACTGAGATCGGCAAACTGTTTTTGGTAACGAATTAAACCTACAGCTCATGAGCTTGCTTGGGCGGATCGATAAAGGTGCAGATCTTCTTCAGGCCGCAGCATCTGGATGTAACCGTTAATCTGGGATCGAGGCACAGCTGATGCAACCCGCATATCAGACTTACCGTGAGCACGGCCTCTTGCCATCGCATTTGGCCTAGGACTAGCTGTCAGCTATTGTTTTGAAATCACAAACTACTCTAGGTCTCAAGTCCAACCTCCTACCTTAGAGTGGCGACATGTGTTGCAGGATTTCTGTCGACCGAGATTGTCAGCAACGGAGGATGCCGAGCTACCGAGATCAACGTGACGTGACAGCTGCCCTTGGGATGCTAACAAGGCACATGGCATATACTTACCGGAATCCTCTTCTTGCGGATACGTGGGGCTTCTAATGGCTTAGTTTCCATGTTTATTGGGGTGATTCGTGCGTCAAAGATGCCTCAAGATGGGGTGGATAGGCGGGTAGAGTATTTCGTCCAGTTAACGGGAAACGGGTCCTGGTGCGAAGATGCAGGGTAGATATGGCAATGCAACATTGAACATGACATTGCGATAAGGATATTCACGGCACTGGAGCCGACCCGGTGTGGCCGTGGCATCGGGTCTCGCTTGAGAAAGAGAGACAGTGAAGAGGCCGTGAGGAGGTTTAGATGGCATGGGTGGGGGTTGAGCTTTGAGTTCGTCGTACAGATGACTAAAAGGTGGTCGTGCAGATGGATTTGCCGCGACTTTTGCTGCTTTTTCATGACAATTAGCTTCGGTAAAGTAGAGATGCTATGACTGCGTACTTTCGAATTAAACTGCTGTATCTTCACCAGAGAACAATCACACAGTTACCTTACTGTTACTGCTGCTACTTCACCTTGACCCCAGACTTCTGCAGCCTCGTATCGTATCCTGAACTTGAGTGTTGCGACCCCAACCCCTGGTCGCCGCTCAGTTTGCCGAAACTAAGCTTATCAAGTGGTGGAAAATTGACCAGCATTTCAATCAATTACTCCGCAGTTCTTTCTATCAGTCAACTCCAGGGATCCACTGCGGAGTGGTGAAGATAGACAAGCTGGATCCGCGAGGGAGACGGCATCGTAACTTGGCAGTCTGGGCAACGGATCGTCATGATGCCTCACTATAGCGTCACGCATGAACGAAGCTGTTCGTAATGAAGTACACAACTAGGAGAAGCATAAGTCAATGGCTGTCAATGGGCAGAGTGAGCCCATGTACCAGCTGATATGCTTACCGTTAAGAATCAACATGAGGCGGACAGGCTGTCGAAGATGAGCCCCCTGCTCTTGGCCGACCTGCTTCCCCGCTTGCCAGGAACAAGGAACAAGCTGCCAGAATCTCTCAAGCTCGAATTTGGGCGCCATCTCCCGCTCAATTCGCAGCTGCGGCCTGGTATATGCACTTTTCCGATTTAGTGAGGTAACGTTGTATTACGCCCATTATCTCTGTAGCTGGTGGAATCGAACATCCATGTAGGATGCGACAAAATGAAGGAGAATTCGTGCTACATGAATGTACTTGTACGAGATACGAGACAATAATTCCGTAATAGCCAGCCACTCTTTCCTAGAAAGAGAAATCCACTGATCGAGTGAGTTAGTCATGGAATGCAATTAACCCCGTGGGGAAAGAGGAAGGGATATATCACCGCTCGTTATAAAGAGGACCGAGGACCCGGGTGGCGAATGGAAGAGACTCTGGGCTCTGTGCAGAACGTGGGAAGACGGCTCAAGGGCAGAAGCAGGCGAGACGTTCGCAACTCCACCCGACGACATGCTCGCTAACGCTATAGCCGCCCTTCTTCTGGGCAGTGGCATTGCCTCAGCGGCTGGCTATGGCTCTCCGTTGACTTCGAAGGCTGGCCAGCGGGCTGTTATTCCAGACTGGGATCTCAAGTCCTCCTCCGACGTCAGCAAGGACCTTGAGACGCTGTCCAAGCCTGGTGTCGACACTTCGTCATGGTATCATGCCGGCACCTCAAGGTGCACCATCATGGGGTGCCTCATCAATGCCGGAGTCTATAACGACGAGGAGCTCTGGTACTCTGACAACCTCAATCACGTCAATTGGGGCCAGTTTTCCGTCCCCTGGGTCTACCGCCACGAGTTTGCGCTGTCTCCCGCCAAGGGCAAGCACTTCTTGCTGCAAACCAATGGCATTACATCCAAGGCCGACCTTTTCTTCAACGGCAAGCAGATTGCCGACAAAGAATACCAATCGGGTGCCTATGCTGGCCGCACATACGACATCACCAGCCTAGCGGCCAAGGACAATGCCCTGCTTGTGCAAGTCTATCCAACAGACTACCTCTACGACTTTGCCATCGGATACGTCGACTGGAACCCCTATCCAAGCGATAACGGTTCCGGAATCTGGCGTGAAATCACTGTCAAAGAGACTGGCTCAGTCTCCATGGGCCCAGTCAGCGTCCTTGTTGACATTGATGTTCCTGTCGAGAAGAGCTCTGCCAAGGTGACTGTCCGCGCCGAAGCCCAGAATCTGGAGAGCCACGCCGTCGAGTTTGAGGCGGCAGCCGTCATCACTGGCAACTCTTGCAACGAAAAGGTTCCCAAGCAGAAGATTAAACTTGCCCCTGGCGAGAAGAAGCTTATCCAATTTACGCAAACAATCAAGACACCCAGCATTTGGTGGCCCAAGCAATGGGGCGACCAGCCTTTGTACAACGCCGAGGTAACTTTTTCTGTGGAGGGAGCTGTTTCAGACACTGCTCAGACCAAGTTTGGTGTTCGAAAGGTCACCTCTGTTGTCAATCAGTTCAACGACACACAGTATAGCGTCAACGGCCACCCTTTCCAAGTCGTCGGCGGTGGCTACGGAGCCGACATGTTCCTTCGATGGGATAGCGAGCGATTCACCCGAATCGTCGAATATATGCTTGACATGCACCAGAACACGATCCGTCTCGAGGGAAAGATGGAGCAGCCCGAGCTGTACGAGATTTGCGACGAGTATGGCCTGATGGTGATGCCCGGCTGGGAGTGCTGCGACAAGTGGGAGGCTTGGGCCTACAACGACGAACTCGCCATCTTTCCTCCGCCGGTCTGGGATGCAAACGACTATGAGACCGCCAACTACAGCATGATTCATGAGGCCGCGACGATGCAACCGCATCCCAGTGTACTGACCTTCCTTGTTGGAAGCGATTTCTGGCCTAACGACGAGGCTACTATCCTCTATGCCGATGCCCTGAAGAATGCCGGCTGGCAGACGCCCATAATTACCTCTGCCGCCAAGCGCGGCTTCCCAGCTCTCCTTGGCCCTGGAGGCATGAAGATGGACGGTCCCTATGACTGGGTGCCGCCCAACTACTGGTACGATGTTGAACCTTCCGAAGACCGCTTGGGAGCTGCCTTTGGGTTTGGCTCTGAGCTGGGTGCTGGTGTTGGCACACCGGAGCTGAGCTCTTTGAAGAGGTTTCTCAACCAGAGCGACCTCGATGATCTGTGGACGAACCCTAACAAGAATCTCTTCCATATGTCCACCAACGCTTCATCGTTCTACAACCGCCAGATCTACAACCAAGGCCTCTGGAAACGCTACGGTGCGCCGACATCCCTGGATGACTACCTGCTGAAAGCCCAGATGATGGACTACGAAGCAACGAGAGCTCAGTACGAGGGCTTCGGCGCTTTGTGGACGGCCAGCCGCCCTGCGACCGGTACTATCTACTGGATGGTCAACAACGCCTGGCCCAGCCTTCACTGGAACCAGTTTGACTACTATCTTCACCCTGCCGGCTCTTACTTTGGCACCAAGGTCGGGTCCCGCATTGAGCACGTCGCGTACAATTACCAGAAGAAGGAGATCTGGGTCATCAACCACTCGCTCTACCAGACAGGCTCACGAAAGGTCGCCATTGAGCTCATCGACACGAACGGAAAGCAGATTGCCAAGAAGTCGGTTCAAATCAGCACCAAGGCCAACTCGGGCTTCAAGGCCGTCGACATCTCGAGCGACATCAACCAGCTGTCCAGCGTTGCCTTTTTGCGCCTTGTCCTCTCTGACGACAAGGGCAGTGTGCTGAGCCGCAACGTCTACTGGGTCACCAAGACAATTGATGAGCTCGACTGGGACAATTCGACTTGGTATTACACCCCAGTCACGAACTTTGTCGACTACACTCCTCTCAATACATTGGCTACTGCCCAGGTCTCTGTGACGACTGGCGCCGGCAAGCATCTGCCTGGAGTTCCGGGATTGCAGACTCGCACAGTCACGCTGGAGAATAAGTCGTCAGTACCGGCAGTCTTTATCCGCCTGACGCTGGTGGACAGCAAGGGTAACGATGTAAACCCTGTCTCTTGGTCTGACAACTACGTCACTCTGTGGCCACATGAGAAACTTCAGCTCGAGGTCGGTGGATGGGATGGAATCGGTGACCAGATTCAGGTCAGCGGCAAGAATATCAAGGCCAAAACTGTTAAGCTCTAGCAGTCATGAATTCTCATTAGAGATGTTCTACATGGTTAAGGAGTAATTAATAATGAAGTAATGTTTCTTTCATTTCTGTTCGTCCATAAATCATAAAGTGGTATATCTCTTGTTGAGGAAGCCTTCGCTGTCTCATAAGCATCGTAAAAAGAAAAGTTAGACGAGGTATCGGAATCCCTTTCTCATCCGCAGAGCCTCGTCGATATCCTCCATCTCGGCATGCGCAGTCTTCTCCATAACATCCGGCTTGGCCTCCCAGACCATCTCGCCCTCCTCAAGCTTCTTGTTGAGGTTGCTCAGGATCATCTTGAACAAAAAGTTGCCAATAATGGTAACTCCAAACATGGCCAAGACGATGCCGTAGCTCTTGCGGTAGCCGTTGTCGGACAGGTCCCAGACGTACGAACCGGCGACGTTTCCGAGCTGACTGAAAGCGTTGACCATGGCGATGGCAACGGCACGCTTGGCGGGAGGACGGGGGAACGAGGAGCTGATCCAGCTGTAGAAGACGATGAATCCAGCGTAGGAACTGGCTTGCAGGAAGAGGGCAACATAGCGGGCGGCGACGTTGAGCGTAGACATGGAGATGACGAAACCGATGATGCCCATGATGATGGGGACAGTGATGTGCCAGAACTAGGAATGACCGAGTCAGTTTTATGCTAATGTGTTGCATGACAGGGCTTGGACGGCTCACCTTTTCTTGTGTTCGATCGGCGTTCCAGGACACGGCGAGGGAGACGAGACAGGCAAAGACCCAAGGGGGAGAGCTCATCAGGAGTGTGGGGACGTAGGCAAAGCCAAGGGTTCCAGTCAAAGTAGGCTATAAGGCATGTTTGTTAGTTTCATTTTCATAGTTAAGATCGCTGGATGCAATAGCTGGACTTACGAAGAAGGCGTTGAACGAAAGACCAACGACGTACGCCGTCAGCGTAAGCATCATGAGGTACACCTTGATATCCTTGCCGCACATGATGAGGCCATCAAAGACACCCTGCTCGTTGGAATCCGAATCGGCCTCGCCGACATCCTCCAGCATACGCAGCTGAGCAACCTGCTTCTCCTCCTCAGTGAAGCCGCGCGCATTCGTCGGCAGATCAGGCAGAATAAAGGCGGCTGACAGGGCAATGGCCATTGTGGCAGCACCCTCAATGAAGAACAGCCATCGCCACGCGGCGTGGCCCAAGACACCCTGCATATTTGACAGAACGCCAGCCGCGACCAACGAGGAGAAGGCGTTGGAGATGAGGTTGCCGCAGAAGAGGAGGGCATTGCGGGTGGTCAGTTCGCGGCGCGTGTACCATTTGGACAGGATGAGCAGAGCTCCAGGCAAAAATGCAGCCTCGACGAAGCCCAGAAAGAAGCGGATCACAACCAGGCCCTTGAAGTCCTTGGCGACGCCGGACAGGGTCGAGATGAGACCCCAGACGACCATGGCGCAAGAGATGTACAGTGAGGGGCGGGTGATGCGGTTGATGAACATATTGGACGGGACCTGCATGAGAATGTATCCAACATACAGGATGCTGAGACACGTCGCATACTGGGTGTCGTCGAGGTTGAGATCTGCCTGCAGGCCCTTGAGACGAGCAGCACCAATGTTGTTGCGATCCAGGTAGTTCATGATGTAGATGAGGATGAAAAGCGAGCAGCGCAGATCAAGTTTCCGCTTGAGGCTCTTCTCGACCTCGGCCCGTCGTGCAGGATCCATGGCGGCGGCGGGATGAGGCTTGGGCACGTCGCTGGAGATGACATGCTCGAGATTCTCGATGTTGTGCTTCTCGGCTTCGAGGGCCGGATCATTGGCCCGGGCGATGTCGTCAGTCATTGTGAAAAAGGGGGATGGGTATTGAAGAGAAGAAGAACAAGGACTGGAGTTGGACTATGGACACCGCCGAGTGACGATGCTGGGACGGACAAGCAACACCAGAGTACCACCGTAGCACAGAGCGCAGGGCTTTCAATATATAACAGACGGATACGGACACTGAGTCGCACTGAGAAAAACCGGACGTCACATGGTCGTGGCGAGCAAGGGGATAATGGATCCAAAGCAAGCAGCAGCGCTTGTATCGACCCCCCAGCTAGTCTAAGCTCGTCCCGCTGAATGTGTGTGCGCTGTTGATCTTTTCTTCAGCTTTACCCCATCCGCTACTCCCCCAACTTTCCCCGGTGGCCATCACAAAATGGAGGCAAAAACAAGGGATGGGGGATGGGGGTTTGGGGGGGGAATGAGGGATGGAGATATGGAGACGTGGAGAAGGAAGATCCGTTTCTGAGCAGCCTAGACCAGCAGTGGTCCGACCAACAACCACCCCTGTTTTGCTTTGCCCTCTGAGGAGTGACGAAGGGACGCAAGGTGGTGGTGGAGTCAGTTCGAGGCTCCTGAGTCAAACGCGAGCTTAGCTAGCGAGCAGATTTTTCTTTAGCTTTGACCTTTATTATTGACTTCTCCATACGTGTGAAATGCTGGCACGGAAATATCTTTGTGGTCGTATCCTATCGTAGCTATTGAGTACCTATGAACGGTAGTTGAAATTAGTACTACTAGCTCGAGTGGCCAAGGCGGAAAAGAAAATTCTCCTTGGGCGGACGGGAATAAAACGCCACCCATTTTGGCGGCTTTTTCTCCTGCTCGTGCAAGCCATCTTTGCTTGGATACATACAACAGCCGCCGCCGATGTGGAGTCCTTTTTCTCTCGTTCTTCACCTTCTAGACTGCTGATCCCCTGGTCATTTTTACGAGGCATGTACTGTAGAAGTGGGGGATGAGAAAAACTGGAGAGAAGAAAAAGTTGGAGACCGCGGAGCAGTTGCTGGACACCGGCTTGGAGAGGCGGCTTTCTATCAACTCAGCTACCCGAAGTTGGTTACCAGATCTGCTTCAGCCCTTGCACTTCTGACTATCTTATTGTGTACACACTCATTTCTCCGTCCATCTTCCTCCTTTAGCCCTCTACGTGAACTTTGTTACAAGTCCCCTTACACAACAAAGACAACCTACTCGCTTCATCACAATACATGTAGCCAGTGAATAACTCGTGTCATGGTGCTTCGCCTGCCATCGGTTCAGCGAAGAGCGAGCACCTCGGGTCATACCCGCGAACCACTTCAACCTACCCCTGGTATCGCAAGCCTCGCTCATTGGGCAAAGCAGAAACTCGCCAATTCCCCACGTATCGCCTTTTTAGACGCTGAATCCCTGACCGGGACAGCGAACCATAACCGCGGCTGTGATTCCTAGCTTGGCCGGCAGGCCGGCACTGGCGTCATGGCGGCCAATTCGCCGATGGAATGCCGTGTAATGGAGCCGTTTGCCCACGTTTTCGAGAGCGAGTTTTGTGCTCTCCGCATCTTCTCCATTTAGGCTAATATCAGGGCTTGGGGTCTCCACTGAATTGGGTGAATTATCGCCAGATGCGTGGGCACATTGTTTGGGGTACTGCCGTCGGTAACTGTCGGGGGTCTGCTTCAACCCTAGCTGCCTAGGCACCTGATCTTGGATGTCCCAACCATTACATAGTATATTTAACTAGAGCATGGAGCATAATAAGGGGTCAGCTGAAAACAGACCATAGCGCTGACTCGTGCGATGAGTGAAGGTAGGAAAATTCTTCTTCGTGGGGAGGCTCCCCGAATTTCCTATTACGGAGTCGACACTTCGCCGGATTCTCCGCATGTCAGACCTCGTGTGACCGAATTCAGCCATGCATCATGAAGCAGCAGCAGTTCCAATATATACAAGATGGAATACTTGCGGTTCTTGTATTTGATCTTGGGCCACGAAATAGAAGACAATAGCAATTTGTCTTGCGTCCCGCCTGACTTATCAAGACGCGTGACAGCAATGCATTTCTTCGAAACATATCAATCAAATATCTTGAGCAGTCATAATTCTTACAGAAAGGAACCAGCAAACCGTTAATCGGAACGGAAGAGACATAATATGTTGACTTGATATCAGGTGTTTTGAAGGCAGGCTTCTCTGTTTTTGAGTCACATCCCTTTCTACCTCAACAATTGAGCTCGAACCTCTTCCGCCCCTCCTCATCCGTACCCAGTACGCCAACCTGCACAACATCTTGTGCCGAAACGACCTTGCGCGCGTCTCCGGGAGGCAGCACAACAACCAGCGACTTCCAAGGCGCCACATATCCTGACGTCTCGTCCCTCGAGAACTTGACCCTGATCTCAGCCCCTTCGACCGAGTACACGATGCTATACCTGGAAACTTTATTCTTTGCGGCAGCCGAAACGCCATCATCTTCATACCATATAGTCTCATATCTTTTCGTAGAGTGAGAGCCTTGTCGAGGAGGAAAGATCTCGACCGCGCGGTAGTCGTCCAGGGGAAGATTAGCGACATTCTCCTTTTCTCCAGGAGACAAGACTTGCACGTCTCTTCCAACTGGGATGGCTGTTCCCACCTTTGCCAGCACAGGAATACCTGCTCCGTGCCACTCGGCGTCAATGGTCGCCCATTGTCCCGCTTCCAAGTACTGGTAGGGAGCCTTGAGGTTGATATAGCCATCATCGTTATCAGAAGCCTTGGGGAGATAGACTCGCGCCTGGGTAGCGCCAGGCTCATACACGCCCCCAATTAGAAGGGCATCGCCGAGCCAGTATTGCGTCTCGCCCTCTGTCATTGGCCCCGTCCAAACTTCTGGATCCTGCTCATAGCCCCAGCCGGTCCAGCGCTGTGGCGGGAGAGCAGTCTGGTGGCTCTCCAGCATCAGGGAGTAGATGTAAGGAATCATGGCGTATCTACGCTTGATTGCTTTGCGAACCAAGTGGGTGATCTCAGGGTACATCCACGGCTCAATGACGTCTCCGATGTTATTTTCGTTGATCGTCTTGAAGCAATTGATCGCGAAGCGCTGCGAATAGGTACCTAGCTGGACCCAACGAAGAAGCAGCTCAGGTGATGGCTGGGGGCCCTCGAAGCCTCCGATATCGTGGCCATAACACTGCAGCAACGACATGCCGGCGTTGAGCGCAAGAGCATTGGCGCCCTTCATGCTGGCCCAGCTGGTGGTGTTGTCGCCGCTCCAGGAACTGCAGGCGTACCTCATCGTGCCGGCTGTTGCGCTGCGAGTGAGAACAAACGGACGTTCGTCAGGAGCAACGTCGACGAGGGCATCGTGAGACGCCTTTCCGTGGAGCTCAGTGTGAAGGCTCCTGCCCCAGAAGCCGATTTGAGGCCGGCCCTTGACGTCTTCTCTGACCTTGAGAGAAGGCTGGTCCAGAGCACAGATCCAACCGTCATCGGTGACTATGTACTCGTTGTTGTCGTTCCAGATGCAGTCGATTCCCTGCTCTCTGAGCCTCTTGACTCCGTCGTACCACCACCGAAACCCAGCGGCAGAAGTAAAATCGATATGTCCACCCTCGGCACTCTCACCTCCACCAGCACTCCATAGTCGTGCCACCGCCGTCTTCTTCGTGTGCGGATCAGTGAATAGCGCATTTGCGGCTTTCAGCTTCTCGTACTCTGGATGGGTACCAATGAGGTACGGCTTCACGTTGGCTATCAGTCTCATGCCGAGCTTGTGATACTCCTTGATGAAGCCCTCTGGATCTGAAAAGCGGTGGCGATTCCATGTGAAGACGTTGCGTGTCTTGGGCGGCTGCTCGGCCACAGTGTAGCCAGACGACATCTGATATGCCGAGCAGGGAATATCATGCTCCTTCATCTTGCGCGCAAGCTCGAGCAGCGCCTCTGAGGCTGGAGGATCGTCAAGCATGGAGTACTTCATTCCACCGGAGAGGTACCCAAATGCCCACCTCGGGACAAGGAGAGGGTAGCCTGCAAGGTCCGCATACGTCTTGACGACGTCCCTGAGAGTCTTCCCCACGATGATGTACTCTTCAAGTCCTCCGTAATCCTGCCGATACACCTTGTAACGACCCCACATGCCGTCCATCTCAGCGCCTATAGAGTACGAGCCCCTGGAATGAGAAGTAGAAAAGGTCGCCAAGCAGGCACTCGGCGTCGCATTGATGAGAAGCGGAATGTTTTTGTACAGAGGATCAGTGCGATAAATGTCGTATCCGAAGCTGTCTGTCGCGGAAAGCTCGAATCTCCTCCCGGCGAGGTTCATCGGCGCCGCTTTCTCACCCAAGCCAACGTATAGGGTATCCTTGTTGTAGCGCGAGTAATGAGCTATGCCCTCGCCGTCGACGACGTATGAACGATGCGGCAGATCTTCATGGAGAGGCCCGTTGTGGCTGCCATCGAGAAAAACTGAGATTAGAGGTGAAGACTCCGTCCAATCGACTGTAGCAGTGACTGGGCCAACTTTGATCTCTTTTGTCGTACTGGTAGAGGAAACATTTATATGAGCTTCTACATGTTTCTCCAGTGGAGGAACGCTGGGATGAGGAGGCAGAGGGTGAGATTTGGACGTGAAAGTCGTCCGAAATACGTTGGCGCGTAGAGCATCGAATGTGAAATGGAAGGAGATCTGAGGGTCAGTCGAGTCGAGCTGCAACAGCTTCCCCGGAGATGAGGCCTCCGCCCAGGAAGAAGGGAGACGCTCTTGCTGAGGCATCCTAGTGAAGCGTATGCAGATTCAGTCAATTTACAAAGAGATATTCTTTGAGAAGTGAAAGTGAAGTGTAGCTTTTGAGAGAGCAAGGCGGAGGACACTGTAGGTTTATATGCGGTTGTGTTTACACGTGTATGCTTGAGGCCATGACACTGGTCGTCCTCACTTGAGCGGATCAAGATGAGTGGATCAGAACAGATTTCGGGTTCCTCAGACGCCCATTGGGCCTCTAAAGATCTTGTCTAGTAGACATTTCATATCACAAGACGTTCCTAGAAGATCAGAGCTTACACGAATGGCCCAACTCTCCTCTGAATAATAGTCGTCCCATTTCAAAATGCTACAGCAAGCGGGCAAATATAAACAATCTCCGGTGAGGGGCAAGCCAGTACCGGACAAAACTGCATGAATCCCGATGGAGAAAAATCACCATGTCCGCTTAGCCTATCAGACGTCGCAAACACTCCCCCGCATTCTGTTCTGTATTGCTTGCAAGCGATCTCGCCTTGCCCCATGGGGTTTTGGGGCCTTCAAGGGCTGTATTAGTCGAGTCCCGGTGATCGAGGGAGGAAGCAAGTGAGATGTGAGTGTGCAAATGCCATATAAAACTACCCATCTCTGAAGCGATCAAGTCATGGCGATGTCAGCAACACCATAACCTCTTCTTGAACCTGGTATTCGTCCCTTCCAGTGAGATCAGCATGGCTACTCCAAAGGAGAACCACGATGTCATCCATCTCGAATCCCCGACAAACCAAGACAACCCCAAAGCCACGTCCAACGAAATCACTCCCGTCCCAAGACCCATCACCGATCTCCCACTCACAGGCAGAGACAAAGCAGCCCAGTTTCTCAAACAAGCCACCCAGTCCCCCGTCATCGTCACCCCCAGCGACAACGACCGCGTCCTCCGTAAAATTGACATCCACCTCCTTCCCATCCTCCTCTTTGTCTACTGCCTCCAGTCCCTCGACAAGACAACTCTCTCCTACGCATCAGTCTTTGGCCTCCTCGATGACACCCATCTCAAGGGCGAACAGTTCTCATGGCTGGGATCGGTCGTGTATGTCGCGCAGCTGGTGTTCCAGCCGCTGGTGGCGTATGCCCTGGTGAAGCTGCCGGTGGGAAAGTTTTGTGCGACGATGGTGTTCTGCTGGGGGGCGGTCTTGTGTGGAATGACGGCGGCAAAGGATTTTGGGGGGCTGATGGCTGCGAGGTTGTTGCTCGGAGCGTTCGAAGCTTCTGTTGGTGAGTCGCACTGATTCTATGTCGACTGGTGAGAATGATCAAGGCTGAAGCGATGGAAAGCCCCGACGTTTATTGCTGTTGTACAAATGTGGTATCGCAGAAAGGAGCAGACAACTCGCAATGCGTCGTGGTATGCGATGCTTGGAGTCGTCAACATGGTAAGAACGTCAATCTCGAAATCGTACCGCTACTCACAACATCCACATCACAGCTTGGAAGTCTTCTCTCATATGGCTTGGGCCACATCAAATCCATCCTCCGACCCTACCAGATCATCTTCCTTTTCTGTGGTTGTATCACAGTCGCATTTTCCCTAGTCATGTAGTACGTTCAACCGCGCACCTTAACCCCCCTTTCTCGGAACATACCACCTCTTCTGACATACACCTAGTCTCTTCATGCCTGACTCCCCAATGGAAGCAAAATTCCTCCGAGAAGATGAGAAAGTCATTGCGATCGAACGACTGCGCATGAACCAGATGGGAATTGGCTCCGGCGTCTGGAAATGGGACCATGTCCGCGAAGCAATGCTTGATCCCAAGACTTGGCTCTGGTTCTCTCTAATGCTCACCATCTCGTAAGCTCCAGATTATTCTGCCATCCCACTGTCATAACTAACACCGATCGTTCGTGGAATAGGATCCCTAGTGGTGGCATATCTACTTTCGGACCCCTGATCATCCAATCTTTCGGCTTCGACTCCTTCACCACGATCCTCTTCAACATCCCCTTCGGCGCCGTTCAAATGATTGCAACCCTCGGCGGCGCCTGGGTCTCCGACAAGATACACATGAAATCCGCTGTCCTCCTAGTTCTCTGTTTACCCCCTATCGCAGGCTGTGTCATCCTTCTCGTAACCGGCCGCTCTCCCTCTGATCGAGCCGTCCTCCTCGTCGGCTACTACATCATCTCCGTCTATCCAGGCATTTCCCCCCTGATATACTCTTGGTCAGGTCAGAATACCGGAGGTGATACTAAACGAAAAGTAACCACGGGTATGCTCTTCATCGGAGCAAGCGTCGGCAACATTATCGGCCCGCAGCTCTTCAAGCCCAGCGAAAAGCCTCGCTATGACCGCGGCCTGCGCTCAAACCTCGCGCTTTTCGTGGTGCTGGCCGTCTTGACTGTGGCGGGCATGCTCTGGATCAAGGTGCTCAACAAAAGGCAAGCAGCGAGACGGCGGGCGCTCGGCAAGTCGGAGGTGATTCGCGATCTGAGCATGATGGACAGGAAGAAGGGCGGTAGTGCATATGATGAGGAGGTGCTGAATGTAGGGGATGAGAATGTCGGCGACAAGGCGTTTGAGGACGCGACGGATCTGCAGAATGAGGATTTCATCTACGTTTATTGAAGGGTAACAATAGCGAGTGGGTATATGATCTAAATTCTTCCAATAGAAGCCAGAAATCTATAACGTTCCAAATAAATAAAGAGAAGAACAAAGCTCTACGTGCCAACATATGTATAGATGAATGATCAGATCGGAAGGCTGGGTTCTCCGCCTTCGCTGGGCTCGCGGCCGGCCCACTCAGCCATGGTTGCGCCACGCCGAAAGTGAGACGCCAGATGATGGACCCTCTCCTCCCAGCTATGCATCTTGAGCTGACAGAAGCCGCACACGCTTTCATAAGTATCCTGATGGTGCTGTAAGAGATGTAGGTTTGGCTTCCATCCATCCCACTTTCGGCAGCGATGGAACTTGTGCAGGTGTTGCCATAAATGGTCCTTTCGAGTGAATGTTCGCTCTGATACGGGACGCTCGGCGCAAGACTGAAACTCGTGGGCCTGCAAGTGCTCATCTGTGGGTGATGTCTCGCCGCAGAAGATGCATTCTGGCTCGCTATGATTCACTCGCCATACAACTTGTGACTGGTCATCTGGAAGAGGCACCTTGCATATCCACGAATCGAGGCCAGGTAGATGGATGGACCGCTCGTGGCGCACCCAGTCATACTTCTTTTTGAAGCTCTGGCGGCAAAAGGTGCATTGAAACATGTGAGCCTTTCCACGATCCGCTGCCGCTCCTGCAACGACCCTTGGGCGAGACGGACCAGCTATCAGATCGCCATCGCCGCCGTGGATGGAGCTCCGTGCCGATAGGGAGAAGATGCCTGCATCATCGGACTGATACATGGAAAAGGCAGACGACCCAGAGTTAGATGATGCGTCGTAGAAACCTGATGGGTGCTGGTTGAAGATGGCCGACTCGCTGCTGGCCGAAGAGGGGGCACCGTCGGTGGCGTAGCTGCCGTCATAGGAGTAAACATAACCATCTCTGCCCCCTTCATTTAGCTGGTTAGATATGGCGTTCTCGATCGCCGATGTAGAAACCGGCTCCTCATTTGGGGGCGAGTGCCTCCATCGCTCCATCGGCGACATGCCGGCAAGAAACGTCTGGGGCATTGGAGACCCTTGCAGGAACACTTTGCTGCTGTTGTTGAAGTGAGACTGGGCGGTCAGGCGATGGCGGCGTCTGGCATTGGCGAACCAGTTGATCACCTGCGTCTTTGTCAGGCCGCTCTGCTCGGATAGCAGACACTTTTCGTCTTCTGATGGATACGGGTGTTCCTGGTGAGTGGCGAACCAGTTTCTCAGAACCCTCGTCTTCTTTACAGAGCGGGTGCTGTTCCGCTTGTATGAAGCTATTGACGATGATCGGGTTGGGGCTGGAGCAGCGTCTCGCTCAATGCGCCATCTTGTAGTCCCCTCGAGGGGGGTAGAGCCGTCAACCTCCTCGCGAACACCATGCAGATGGCCAATGACTGGAAGGACAGTCTCGTAGGCGGAAGCTTCTCTCTTGCCACGCTCCGCAAGGCTGCAATCGCGGTAGAGAGCTACACAGCTGGAGCAAGAGCTGACGGGATTCGGGTTAGCCTCCGTGGTCTGGAGGATGAGGCACTGGAGTCGTAGCCGTTGGCAGTAGTTGCAGGGCACTGGCGGCCGATGGGCACCATTTTTTATGAAGAATTCGTCGATAACGTTGAGGTTCCTGGCAACCCCTTGCGTCGACGGCTGCTGCTGCTCGTGATGCTGTTGTGGTTCCGATGCCCAGAGAGGCTGGGCGTGACTGGCTGAGCCCGGGTCGAGCGGCAGCGGAGAAGTGCCATCAAAAGAAGAGCCGGGGCCACTGAGCATCCCGGGTCCGAACTCATACTGAAACTCGGGGAACACGGAGTCCCCACCGGCCGGACTGGCATAGGGACTGCCGGCGTAAGGGTCCGAGGGAGAGAAGAAGGAGGGACCAAAGTGGTCCATGGAAAGGGAGGTCTGCAGTTGACGAGGGTCTTGATTGGCGGGCTGCTGCTGCTGCTGCTGCTGCTCAAACGGAACATCATGAGCCGCCGGGTCCGATGGCTGGCTGAAGGAGTGAGGGTGAGTGTGTGTGAGAGAGTGCGACTGGAGGTGAGGATGAGACCGAGACTGGGTCTGAGGCTGGTGCGCCTGCATGAGGCGGTGCTGGTCGTCCATCAGCCTACCAACCTCGTCCACTAGAAACAGCCCGTCATCCATGGCAGCAGATCAGATCCGCTCACAGTCCCAATCCAGGACAGGAGACCAGAGCAGAGACTGGCGTAAGCGCTCACCGTCTCACGACCGCCTCGTCCCTGATGTGAGCAGACCGCCGCCTGTCTCAGCTGGGCATCCACGTCTGGCTGGATTTGTGTATCTCCTGGCACCTGGCAGCTCCCGCGAACAGCGACTGTCTCGTGTTACAGGGCTTTGTGCACAGGCTAGCGGCTCCAATGCGCTCGTTAGTCTGCGCAATGCCCCCGTGGATCGCCTCTTTGGCAGCGCTTGAGTGACGCAGATAGGCCACTGCCGGAGCATCAAACGCCGGAATCGACCAACCACGGCGTCCAGCGTCGGACTCGGGCCTCTGCAGCGGGTCTGCCGTACGATCTCCGGTCGGGGTCCCTCTTGCCCTTGCTCTTCTCAATCCCCTCTGCCGCCAAGTTGTCCGAGCACAGAATTGCGGTTGGCGGAGAGCGGAGAGGGCGCACGCTTGGGAGATGAAAATGCTAAGAGTGACATGACCCATCAGCTTTGGTCGTAGCAGGAGGGCGCCGATTTTTGGGGGTACGGTGTCTCTTGGATAAGATAAGCGGGTCCAGGCACGTGCCCAGCACGGCTTGTTGGCCACTGCGCCCTCCGTCTACAGGGAGCTACAGGCGGCTTCAGGGCCTGGGCCTGAAAGTTACAGTGGATGGCTGTGCCTGGAACGACAGCTGCATGTATTAGGGTACCTTTAGCTGTTAGTGGGAGTCGCATCGAATTCATGCAGCTTCAGGCCACTGTGAGGAGACCGATGGCGATGATGCTATCACTACACAAGGTAATTGCAAACACGAAGTACACTCTGGTCCAATTGAGAGCAGATACGCCTTCTCATACATGAAGAGGGGCTTTCAGCTTGTTGTTTCGCATCAAATCACACCAACAGCGCCTTCTGATGACATTGAAACTTCCCTCGGCCAAGCCCATGTGCTGGTATCAGGTACACGCCATTGGACGGAGTTTTCTGGCTGCTGCTGCGGTTTCCTCTTTCAGAGTGCAGGTGAGTCGAGGCCCGCGAAAAGCACAAGCTACAGCGGGAGTTACAGCGCCTTCTGCACATGGGGAGGGGCAGCACGACCATGAACGTTGTCGCCACGATAATACTTGGGTGTTTGAATTACAAAGTCGGCGACGGAAAAAGCTCATCATCAGATGTGAAAATAAAAGAAAAAAGGAAAAAGAAAAGAGTTTAATCATAAGACATCAAAGCAGAAGATGAAACAAGCGCATTGGATAGCGTTCCGCTGACATGCCAAGCGCAGCTCTCTGCCCACTTACCATCCTGGGCTTCTCTTGCAGACTTGTCGTCACTAGCATCAAAAACCGCCAGCCACTGGCAAGCTGAGGATAGTCCAATTCAGTCCAAGGCCGTCCATGTAGACCCAGTTGATCCCGGCCAACGGCGGCATGGAGAGATTAATGGAATCGAGTCAGGATTTACATCAAACCTCTACTCAGTCAATCTCTACAATTACCAGATAAAAGGCCAGTCGAGCCCCTCACAGCATCCTCTTTCCCTCTACCAGACGCTTGTGTTCATGTGCTTTTCCCGTTAATCATCCTGTCTGGTACCTATAACCTTCACTTCACCCCCTTTCCCATCTACCTCCGCCTCACACAATGAGCCGCCGTCCCGTCTACTTCAATCCCTTAGCCAAATCATGGACGGCACCGTCGCCGGATGACCCTCAGCTGGCATACCGCTTCCATTCAGAGTTACCGGCTTATTCTCCGACCAAACTGATCCCTCTCGCGGACCTGGCGCAGGAGCTCGGCGTGCGCTCCATTCACCTCAAGGATGAAACAAGTCGGCTTGGGCTCCCTTCGTTCAAGATCCTCGGCGCCTCATGGGGCACGTTTCGGGCCATTATCCAGCGACTTGGCCTTCCCCTAGACTCTTGTCTGGGCTCTGTCAAGCAGAAGTTGGCATCTTCGAGTATCACCCTCTACGCAGCCACGGATGGCAATCATGGCCGGGCCGTTGCTCGCATGGCCTCCATCCTGGGCGTCCCAGCCCAAATCCACGTCCCTGTTTCCCTGCACCAAGGTACCATTGATCTGATAAAGTCAGAGGGTGCTCGTGTCGTCATCTCAGACGGCTTCTACGACGCTGCCGTTGTTGACGCCCAAGTGGTGGCTGCCAAAGACGATACCGGCCTTGTTGTTCAGGACTATGCATCGGGCAACTACGTTCAGATTCCACAAGTACGTCCATCACGTCTTCTCAACGGTGCCCAATGCTAACGTCTCTCAGTGGATTGTCGATGGCTACCTCACCATGATGCTGGAAATCGACGGCCAGCTGGGCTGTACTACCCCTGACCTCGTCGTGGTGCCTGTGGGCGTCGGATCTTTTGCACAAGCCGTCGTAACACACTACAAAAAGCCCGGAAAACAAACTACAGTCTTGACCGTGGAACCTGATACGTCTGCCAGTCTGTGGAAAAGCCTCAATAATGGCGAGTCCTCTACCACGTCGGAAAAGGCACCCAGCATCATGGCGGGGCTAGACTGCGGGACGCCCTCATCGATCTCTTGGGCTGTCCTACGACACGGGGTCGATGCTAGCCTCACAATATCCGACTACGAGGCTCACGAAGCTTGCGAATACTTGAAGTCTCGAGGTGTTTCCGCAGGACCCTGTGGAGCCGCACCCATCGCTGCGCTTAGGAGATTGGGGCCAGCGGATAGAGAAAGGCTGGGTCTAACCAAAGACTCGGTTGTCCTTGTCTTTTGCACGGAGGGTGCGAGAGACTATGATGTTCCTCACAGCGTGGCGTGCGATGATCCCGTCGAGCTAACGCAGACATTGGTAAGAATCAACTCGGCCAATCCGTTTCTTGGTTCGGTCCCCGGCCCTGGAGAAACCGTTATTGCCCGCTATATCACTGCTTGGATGGAGCATCGTGATATTGAGGCTCATTGGATTGAGCCAACGCCCGGACGGCCTTCTGTGGTAGGCATTGTTCGCGGATCGGGCGGTGGCAAGACCCTTATGCTTAATGGGCACATCGACACTGTGACCCTTATGGGATACGAAGGCGATCCCCTCAGCGGTGACATCCGAGACGGAAAGCTCTATGGCCGTGGGGCCGCTGATATGAAATGCGGCGTAGCAGCCGCCATGATCACTCTAGCCAACGCAAAAAAGCACACACTTAGGGGAGATGTGATCTTCACAGGCGTGGCAGACGAGGAGTTTGAGAGCATCGGCACGCAGCAGGTATTGGAAGCGGGTTGGACAGCTGACGGCGCAGTTGTCAGTGAGCCCACAAACTTGGATATTCTATACGCGCACAAGGGCTTCGTATGGTTTGAGGTCGATATCCATGGCCTCGCGGCACACGGCTCGAGATACGACCTCGGTATTGATGCTATCAGCAAGGCAGGCTATTTCCTCGTCGAATTGGATAAGCATGCAAGCCATCTTACATCGCAGTGCGGCGATGCTGTTCTTGGCCCAGGCAGCATTCACGCCTCCCTCATCAAGGGTGGCGAGGAAGTCTCGTCCTACCCTTGCCTCGCTCGGATCCAGCTCGAGCGGCGAACCGTGAACGGCGAGACACCGGAAACTGTAAGGAAAGAGCTCGAGGAAATACTCGACGGCCTGACCAAAACAGTCCCCAACTTCAGATACAGTCTCCGCACCACCTTCCACCGGTCTCCCTTCAAGGCTGACCTTGCCCATCCCTTTACAAAACTCGTCCACAAGCATGTGGGTAGCACCATCGGCAAGGAGCCAGTTGTCTCAGGTGCCCCCTACTGGACGGACTGCGCACTATTAGAAGACGCTGGGATTCCGGCATTACTCTGGGGGCCCAAAGGTGAAGGGCTGCATGGGAAGTTGGAGTATGCAGATGTTGAGTCGATAAAGCAGGTCGCAGAGGCATTGACTGCAATCGCTATGGAGTTTTGCAGCTAGCATCTGCTCTTCAAAAAAAAAAAAAAAAAAAAAAAAAGATAAGAACAGGTAGAAAGCAAGAAGAATAGATGAAACGGGGACTGTGCCCATATTGTTTACGTTGTTATTTATTACTTTGACGACGGATGTCCTCAAATCGCCTCATATCTTGCATGGTTGTTCACTGATTATCTGTCCTTGCATCATTCATCACTACCCGCTCTCAGACGTACTCTTCAGCCTCGGTGGTAATAGCCTCCGTCTTCTCCGGTGGAATCGACGCCGTGAGTCCCAATGAAGCCGCAATGGCAAACAATCTCTCCTTCTCCTTCAAAGCAGTCTCATCACCAAAGACGCGATCCATGTCCTCCAAACTGCGACCTTTGGTCTCCGGCACGCAGAAGTACGTAAACACCAGCCCGATCAAGCAAAAAGCCGCAAAGAAGATGTATGTGCCCCATTTCAGAGTCTCGAGCATATCCGGGGTGACCAGCCCAATGATGAAGTTGCACATCCAGGTTGAGCTGGTGGTGATAGCCATGGCCTTGGATCTGCTGCCCAGGTTGAAGATTTCCGAGGGATAAACCCAGCCGATGGGAGCGAAGGAATAGGAGAAGTTGATGTCGTAGATGTAGATGAACGCAATCCCGACCCAGCCTGCTGTGGCATGTTGACTAAGTGCAGAGCCGTATTTTCCAACAATGGATCCAACGATGATGAGCGAAATGAAGGTGCCAGTCGCGCCGCACATGAGGAGGGGTCGTCTTCCGACTCGATCGATGAGGAAGAGGGCGGGCAAAGTGCTCAAAGTGTTGACAATCCCGTAAACACCGGTGGCCAAAAGGGATGTCGTGTTGCCTGAAAGACCCAATTGCCCAAAGATAGTCGGGGCATAGTAGATCAGGGCATTGCAGCCCTGGAACTGCTGCAGAAACATGATGGCGCTTCCAATGAACACACGCTTGAACGTAGGCCAATTCGATAGCAAGCCGTAGTATTCAGCGAAGAAGAGGCTGACGCCGCTCTTTCCGGGGTAGTTCTCTCGCGTGTGGGATTCGTCAAACATGACCTCTGCTTTGATAGAGAGGTACTCTTCTCGTAGGGAATCGGAATCCGGATGAACGCGGCGGAGGCGAGCCAGTGAGCGAAGGGCTGCATCCTCGTTCTTGCGCATGAGATGGAATCGTGGGGACTCGGGGTAAAAGATCATTCCAATTCCGAGAATCAGTGCAGGAACGATCTGCAAGGCAAATGGGATTCTCCATGCGGCTTGGCTTTGTCCAGTGCAGCCGTCGGGGCCGACATCGTTCTCGGGGTTGAAGGTCGGCTTATCTGGAGTGCCACCTGAGTAGGGAATGTCGGGGGCGCAACGGGTGCCGCCAATGTACTGGGTGCCGTATTCCAGCCAGTAACTGATGAGAATGCCCAGAGTGATGCTTACTGTGAGGAAGGTTGCCATTTAGGAGAATGAACGATGATAGAGATATGGGATGAGCTGAATTGCTTAGACTTACGCTGCTGTAGCACCACAAGGGTTCCTCGAACGCCAGCCGTAGAGACCTCCGACATGTACATGGGCACAATCATGGTGAGCATACCAACTGCCAGGCCTGCAACAGCTCGTCCTATAGAAAGTGTTACTTTAGCTCTCAGCATGGCAATTGAGATGGGGGGAGGCTTACCGCCGAAAAGCATGCCGATGGTGCTCGCGCCAGCCTGCAGAGAAGAACCCAGGAGGAACACCACAACAGCGGCCATCATGGAACCCTTTCTACCGAATCGGTCCGCAATCGGTCCATTAAGCAAGGAGCCCAACCAGGCTGTCAGAAGCAGCGTAGACACAAACCATCCCTTGAAGCCACTGTCGAGATAGATTTTCGGGAAGAGTGCGCCGAAGTTCTCCATCCCGAGAACACCTGAGACCACGCCTTGGTCATAGCCGAAGAGGAATCCACCGAGTGATGCGAACTGTATTGCTGTGTCAGTGGGATGTCGTTACACGGCTTTGCATTTACATGTGAACTTACAGCTGAGAGACCAAAGATGTACGGATTCTCCCGAAGTTGACGGAACACACCCTTCTTGGGCTGCATGGCAACGCCATCTGCCGGATTGGACGACATCTCGCAAAGTGACCGTTGTAATAAGCTTTATAATCCACAATGCAACTTCACGATAGTGCCCAAGCTCGGATCGCACCAAGAGCAGTGGATCAGCGGGCCTTTATATAACTTCTTTCCCATGTCACCACGTCTGTGTCTCGGTGACACGCCATCGGGTCTCAATTCTCCTGACCGCACATACTGCAGGGTGACAGTCGCCCTGTGACCAGGAAGCTTTCTCTCCGCATTTCCCCTCAGCTAGTATGGGGCATGAAAGAACCGTAAGTCAAGTTTCCACGTTCTATGTGGGGGGAAAATCGTCATGAGGTCCAATGGAGTGGTTTTTCCATGGGGATATCGATGGAGAAAGCGCCCTTTGAAAGGTGAGATCAGCGCAAATAGCCGCACGCATGTACCCTTAACGAACGAACGGCGCGTGTGGGGGAATAACGCGGAGAGGCCAGCCGAACGAACAAGAGCCGTTCGGAAGTTGTACGAGGCCCAGGGTTCTCCACATCGCTGGCACTGGCAGTGGAGTTTGGGACCAGCAAGCTTGGAAGTAGTTTCGCCGTGACACGGAGGACATGTTTGGTGAGGGTCACTGTGATGCGGTCCGATGAGGGTGGTTGGTTTACGGTTGACGCGCGAGTCATGGCTGTCGGTTTCTCGACGCGGCTTTTCGGTGGAATAAACTCGCAGATGAATCATGCAAGAAAATGATTGGTTTCCGCCTGAGCAGCCAGGAACAAAGTTGCAACAACGGTGGCGGACGATGGGGAAATTGCGGAGAAGCACCAGCTTGGTGGTGCCCCGGACGTCACTGAATAGTCTACTATGTACTGTGAAGTGGTAGTACGAGCAATTGGCGTCAGCCGAGGCCGGGCGACAACCGGAGTATGTCAGAGCCCCGGCTCTCAATAAGAGACCGAGAAAGATCGAGAAAGGAACTACCACAGCGAAGCATCCGCTACCATGCAGGTACAAGATGATGAGGGCGAGGTTCATGGAAGTATAGAGATTCTGACAATGCCTACTGTTGTTTGATTACCGACCGAGACGAATATCTGTCATGAACATAAAGTTTGTGAGCCATGGTGCTGTATTGAAGATGGCTAATTAGGTACCTAGTCTACACCCAAGCTTGTGGTGATACAACTTAGTTGAGAAGGATATAGAAAGAGACTGCCTATCCATAGAAGGATTGGCATACTACCGAGGATATTGGATCACTCATACAGTTGGTGACCTGGCTCTACAGCCCGAGCGACAGGAATGTAACAGAGCATCATCGAGTGAGGTCGAAGGTCAATTGCATGCGCAGCCCAGAGGAAGACGACTTGGGAATGTTTCATTCACAGATCCGTAGGCAGCTAAGACCAAGCTCAAGCAGCGTCCAACGGAAGCATACATATACTGGTAAGCCGCGTACAGGCGTGCCGATCCCATCAAACTGATGATGATGGACATCCTCCATTTCGATACTGCCACAACGTGCTTAGATGGCACATCTTTACCACCTTTCAATTATCCTCTTGAGCGTGGTTTGTCGAGGGGTTGCTTGGGCCATCTGTAGCTTGAGCTGCTAGCACTGCGTTATTGACAGTGGTGCTTTTGGGTGCAGTATTCGACTCTGCTCCACGTGTGGTCTGTCCACTATGCATCAAACGCGACGTGAAATCGTCTGTCTCCTCATGAGGTTACATGTCCATAAATTCTCACTCTGCTGGCTTCCGGGTGAGCAGATTGATGAGATCCAAAGCAAAGATCAAGCTCAGGTAGTGCTGGTTAAGTTGATGACCTGCTCTTGAATTCACGAATTCTTTGCCCATGAATCTGCTCTCGGGATGATCGTGGACTTTTCTCTCGCGAAGGCTAGCACCCCTCTTCAAGTAAGAGCGACGCAATATGACCAAACTGTTGGCATTAGTCCTTCACTAAATAAGCAATAATTCGTTTGTTGGTGGAGATTGAACCAAATTACCATGGGGAATGGCAAGGCGGCAGCTCCCGACCACGCAGCGTGCCGAGTGCGGTCTTCGACTGCGTTAGATGTTCGGCCAACTCTTGCTTCATCGAAGGTCAGCAGCCAGCAGCTGCTCAAATCGTCTTTTACGCTGGTTATGGTGGACGCAAGGGCGAATGTCTGCTGGCAGGTGATAAGCAGATGGACGGCTTGCAGAATGCATAGTTGTACTGCTGGCCGCGATCGGGGACGCGACCTCTTGTCAGATAAGGTATAGCCTCAAAAGGAGAGGCGCTAGTTCACTCATATGCCGAAAGCTACATATCCGACGGTATTCCCGGAGCCACGGGGAAGTGAGAAATAGTACCACATCTCTTTTGTTGTTTAAGCGCTGTTCTACTATGAGCCTATCTCCAATACCCTTCTTATAGAGCCGTACAGCATTACCCACGAAAGAGGAAGGCTTATAATGATTGGCTAGCTACAGAACGGCCTGTATGTCCAAATCTTGACTACCATGCCCATTTCCCCGTTTGTTTCATCGTCTGCTCAGACAGAAATACCCACCAACCCTTGATGTCTCTAGGAGCAGAGGAGGCTCCGGTGCACGTTGCAGGCGAGGTTGGCCGAGGCATCACGGCAGTTGCTGTTGAAGGAGCCATCATCATTGTCCAGCCAGATAGAGCCGCCGCAGCCCTGCAGCACGTACTTGAACCCGTTGTCGAGCGGGTTAGCGAGATGGACGCCGCATGGGTTCTCGCCTTGATCGTTGATTCTATCCCAGCGGCAGGGGTCGTCGCCATCAACCCACATCACTGATAGATAGAGAAGAGGCCTCAGTCAATATATTTCAGGCCAGCTGGAGTCATATCCTGAAGACAAGACTTGATAGAACATGGACCATTACAACGTACCATTGAAACCTGCGGCAGTCCCGATAGCAATAGTAGCCTCAGTACGCGTTGCAGACAAGGCCAGAGCCAAGATGGTGGGGATAAAGTCTCGTGAGAAGAGCATATTGAAAGGCTGAAAAGTTGTCTGGTTGTTTACTTGATGAACGGGCTTGTTGTTGTTCTTGGGACGAATATTGGGAACAGAGGGTCAACGCTACCTCTTTATATAGCCCAGTAATACTCTTCAAGTTCGGCGATAGTTTGAACAAACGAACGGCGGACTTACACATGGTAGTTTGGCGTAAGCAAGTACCGCTTTTCCCTTGTACTATCAACTTCCTAATAAGGTACACCAGTAGAGTTCTTACTCAATGCCAAATAAGCATAAGCAGGCGAAAAGCAGCGGTCTACAATTACAAGATGCCGGATGACAGCTCAGCCTTGCGCGCGCTGTCGAGAAAAGTGGATGAATCCTGCGCGGCTGTTGTCCGTGGCGAAAGGGAAAATCCCTTGTAGTGTACGCGAATGAATGTTGTAGTTGTAAGGAGTAGTATACCAGCCGTAGGATTCTGCCTCGGTCTCTTTACTTTCATCTGCTAGACCTGTTGATCCTATTTTCAGATACGAACTGGACCCTTCGCCTTGCCACCAATGGAGCTTCTCAACATAGCCATTTACAGGGTTCTTCAATCTGACTGCCCATTGGTTCCACTCTCTGTTCCCGAGTGCACTTCGCGGTGATTTACCAACTGTATAGGCTTCGTTTGACGAACGAATCCGACTTCGCTTGAGAAACGAATCGACGGAGTTTTTTCCGGGGTAGTATTGTGTCCGGGGGCGGATGTTATAAGTGCATTAGGGCTGATGCAACCTCCCCATTCACCTACCTTTATGGTTGCTGACTTATTTTACCTTCCTTAAGCATCAGAAAACATGTAGATCTTCAGATCTTCTCACAATCCTACAGAAAGCTGGAGTTACGTCCAAAATAGCATCTCGCACGGCAAGTCAGAAAGTAGGACGATGAGCCCCTATTGTTCCTTTATTGGGCACAACGCATCCGCAACTTGTGACGCTAAACGCTCCCTGGAAGACCCTTCGTTCGTATTCAATCGCCAAACACATACGGAAGCGCCCGCTGTCTTTCATTGGTCGCAAAACGTGTGCAATTAACGACTCCAAATGCATACTGTAACGTCCAGTGTCCGAGTCAACATGCTTGCCGTATGTACTTGCGGTAGCATGAGCTGAACAGAACTTCTACTTCTCAACGTTTTGCCTTCTGTACTTCGTACATCTCGTGCTATGAGTTGATGACCAGAGAAAGACTGGCACCGAGGAGACAACGAGTGACCTTCTCCCTGTGCGTACATGGAGCATCTAGCCCAACGATGAGCAGCCCGCTTAATGTCACGCGGTCACGCGAGCGTATCCCTATCGAAAGGTTAATTGTTACCTCTACCTTATACACAACCCAATACAACGCTTATCCCTGAATCTTCATCGTATTGCGAGCACATGAAGGCCATATTGGGACTTTGTTGGCCCCGTCGAATGGCCCGCGAGCTCCGAGGATGACTCTGGTAGTGAACACGTTGATCAATGAATTTGTAATTGCCTTGTAATGCTGCCTAGATCAATTAGGGTATTAATATTTCAGACTCGAAAGATGTAGCCAAATATATCGTGTTTCCTCGTACGATGAGAAGTTTTATATATCTTAGGTAGCAAGCTTGTTATCCTAGGGTATTCCAATACGTGGCTTAGCCCATGGCCTGTTTGGCATCCTGCTGCAAAAGCACCGTCAAGAACCCAGGGACCCGTTCGCGAGCACCGGCCGTTGTGCGTTCACCATATATTTTGCTGAATTGACAAGCAAGTCACGGCCGTTGGGGATGTCTATAACCGTGGAACAGATCGAATACTCATACCATAATACGCAGCCGAAAATCCGGTGTCCTGTCGAGCTATCCTCCTGGAGTCAATGACTTTCATTTCACTCGCTCTGAGGGCTTTAACAATTAGAGAACGTCGCTTACAAAATATCATCAGCAAGTGCCTGAACAATAATAAAGATAGCTGGGTCTCATAATCTGCGGCTGTAAGAATTGTGTTAAACTACAGGGTGCCCTTACTCCGGTCTGATCATATCGGGTTCGTGTGGCTCATGACTATATAGGAGGTCCTGCCTCCCAGACCTTGTATTTGAACAGCTAAGAGCTCAACACACCAACAATGCACTCACTGCTGTATTGTCATCTCTCCCTCTCTACAGAGTGGCTCTCCGATTGGCAACGCGGAAGCTGGACCATTCTTACAGTCAAATGAGGCAGAGTCTATCAAGTCACCAACGATCGCACACTTTTCTTTGTTTCGCCAGTCAAACAGAGTGTTTCACTGTTCAAATCAAAGTTATCTGGATGCATTTCACTACTAAGTTCTCGGGCACTTGGTCTTAAATACGAATTTTAGCTTCATGTTATTCGTCCTGATGGAAAAGGCAAATGTAGCTAGAACTAGTGCTGTTCTAAAACTGTCTCCTTGACCAACGTGCCATACCCTCTCCGCCAAGACTGAACAAGCTTCGATTGCCCTTATATTTACTCGTATTCGACAGTCACGGTGCCGCCAGAGACCGACGTCGAGGTGATAATGTCTCCCCTCGAGTCCTCCAGGTCAATAATAACGGCAGAGCCGCCCGGTGTCACGGTTGCTCCGTTAACGACAGCGCTGGCTCCAGTGAAGGTAACAGATCCAAAGTCGGCGAAAGGAACCAGCGAGCTGCCGGAGGTGAAGTCCTCGACAATCCACTCGGCGCTCGTGCCGGGCAGGGGCGAGTTCTCTCGGGAGAACGTGTGGGACACAGTTCGTCCACCGCTCGACAAGGTGGTTATACCACTGTTCGTGCCAGTCTTGGTGGCGGTAACGGTAACAACTGATCCAGCAGTCACAGAGATTCCGGAGTATTCGACCAGCGAAGCCGGGAGGTACTCGTACCAAGCCTCGTACAGGTATTCGCCATCCTCGACACACCAGAGGACGCCAGTCTGGATGAGGTCGGCATCAGAGTAGCCGTCGATTCCCACCCATGCAGCACCACAGTACTCATCGCGAGAACTGCCACCAGCAGGAGGGCTGGGCCTGGGGACCGTGAAGGTGCCAGAGACCTCGGTAATGCCTGAAGTCGTGATAGCGGCACCAGCCCAGTTCGTAGACACTGCGTCGGCAGTTCCATTAACCTTGTCGGAGCCGGCTTGGAACCTGTTGGAACGACGGGCAGCACTCCGGGCACGGATAGCATCCATAGCCGCCTGCTTGCGAGCGGCAAGAGGGGATGCCAAGGCGGCATTGACGATCAGGAGAACATTGGCGGCGAAGGCGAGGGACTTCATCTTGAATAGCTGCGGATGAAGTTGGTGAACTTAGGTGGATGATTGTGATGCAAGATGCACGGAGAAGGTTCTGAACCAAGACGTTGGTAGATCTTGGAGTCTTGAGTGAACTGCTGTTGCTGGACTGAGTTGAGACTGGCTTCAAGAGGGTCTTTATATACTTGCAATCTTCTTGGCATACACTGCCCCGACGCATCTGCTGATAGCCCTCACTTCTACAAACAAGGACTTGAAGACGCAATCGCGGCGGTCGAGATCGAAATAGGAATGTATGAATGTACGAGTTTCCGCTGGAGCGAGAGAAGCCATTTGTCTAAACTTGATGATACCTTTTTCCCAGAGTTACACGTCATTAGCTGCTGGTCGAGCCAAAAGTACGACACCTTTGGGGAAAAGGAATCACTATCTCGAGTCTTGAGAATGCCCGGTTCTGCAACCTGCCTATTACAGAGAGCATCTCCGATAAGAGAGTGGCTAATGGCGTCCTCAGTAGTTGAAGCATCACGGAGGACTAGAGACACCGGCCTCGAGGCTGGACGAGTCGTATGCGAGGGCTACGAGAATATACGCTCTAGCAATCAGCTTTGGTCTCAACTTGGTGAAAGTATTTAGATGTGTTACGCGAGATAAAAAAGAAAAGAACATCATCGTGTAACATAGCTGGAATATTAGATAAAAGGCCGTCCAACTCAAGAGATTGGCTATTCTTCCATATGCCCTTATTGCGGGACGGTGCCTGGCGCCTGTATTGGAGGCTGCGGGCATATCGAGATGTAGTATGCAGCCTTTGTAATATATGACCATGTAGGTAGCTAGTCCAATAAGACATGCTCTTCTACCATATTCACGTCATCGGTATTAAGCTCAACCACTGCTGGAATCCCGCATGACTCGGCCCGTTCTATCTCCACGTTCCATCAAGCAAGGCTGCTTTCCAACTGTAAGTGAAGTTTTTTCTTCCCGGTGTGCTTCGCAAGTAGAACAAAGGGCCAACGCTATCTCTGAGTCGCCTTCTAAAGCATTGCTGCTGCAGCTTTTTCACGGAGCGGCTTCTTACCCCTATGAAGGCTTCGTGTTGATGAGGATTTCATCTCTTCCTCAATGAGCAGAGCACAACTCATCTTCACGTACCTCTCGAGTCGCTTCATCCGTGGACGCGTTAACCAGCAAACGCCACTGTAAAGCTGAGTAGCGCCATCAATGCAGAGTGGGGATAATTCACGCCAAGGATGCTGTAGTTACAATGGCACGGAGATAACGGGATGCAATGCTACCCCATAATCGAGCTTGGCCTGGCACATCTCTTGTGATTTGCGTGATTCCAAGCATAAGGTCGTCGCCATCTTCCCGCATTTGAGTAGAACCTTCCCGTTGCGATCCAAGGCCGATACAGCGCGTATAGTGGCTTGCATGATGGTTTGGGAATGAAGTTATCACTTGAGCACTATTACTCCCTAGGTGGGGGGAAAGTCATTTATTCCCGTCGATCGAATGCTTGGCGATAGAACGGACTTATGGTTGCCGTAATGTACAGCTCCCATGTCGGCGATTTATCGTATGAAGTTGATGTTGGGTAACTTGTAGATATATTCCCAGGAGGATAGACAACTGGCGATTGTCGTCTGTTTGAATCATCGTGCCATCTGTTGAACACCTAATATAAGTATTGTTCGATTAGACCAGTTCACATTTGCGTACTCCTGCTGCCACGATTTTACCTGCTTCTTGGCTGAGAATGAAAGGTTATTTCTGTCTGCTTCGACCCAAAGACGTGAGGGATATCGGGTAGTCCTGGTCCACTCGCCTAGGTCATCTACCCCTGCACTTGCCTGCAGTAAACAAAAGGGCTTGCCTGCATCGGGAGGTCCAGTGGCCGGCATATAAGTCCGTATCGGACAGTTCCAACGGATCAATCGGCAAACTATGTCGCATCAAGATGGATCTGCGCCTTTCCCCGCGATCAGGGCGTCGAACAGAACAGAAGAGAATGGGTGGAGGCCCGCTTTAGGCGAGCTCCGAATCGAGCACTGACGACTCTCTTTCTCTTCGATAGAACTTGAAGAGAAAGTCCCCCAAGCAGTCATTTGTATCCCTAGAATCTTCAACTTAAAATATTCAACAGCAAGCTCAACTATGCTGCATATGTCAACGACAGTGGATGAGAGGATCAAGGAGAGGGAAACTAGCTCTGTTTGACTGACGACATATTCTCCCACTACTGCGTACCCTCCTCACCCTCTCCCAACTCAAACTAATACGAGGCTGGCCTGGATAAATCACGGTCTGTGTGTGGTTGCACTGCATTTGGTAACCACATAAGTTCATGCCGTGGATGATGTGGTGATGCGGCAATGGACATAGCACGTCTAATTGTGCTTTGGACGAATGACTTATGGTTTCATCCATTGGCTTATATCACCACCCGAAGCAGGGCTCCTTCTTGAAAGTGATAGAATATAGACGCTCCAATCACAACCTACAACAAATACTAAGCTTAGATGTAGGTAAATCCTCGCCTGAGATCGATCGCCAGAATGTGTTTCTCGTCTGCTACTCCGTAAACAAAGCACTCGTGCGTATCGAAGAAGAACATGAAGAACAGGTATGGAGTAGTCGGTAGAGAAGATCAGGATCAGCAGGCCCCATAGGATCTGCTCATCGATCATCAGGCACATACGACCATAGGTAGTGGAAAATCCGGGTCCTCAAAAACAAACCACTAACCGGCAAACTAGTAGTCAGGTGGGTCGCCACTGGCGAACACTGGCTGTTGTATGTTTTTCTTCGTCCCTTTTCCTTTTGTTATCCTCTAGAAGAGCCTATGTAACTTTGTGGAAATTTAGGGGCCATAGGAGCTGAGGTTCGTAGAAGTTGTAACGTGGGTAATGTGAGATTATTGAAGGGTGTCTGTTTAGTTTATTGCACGCGGAGATCGACGGATCTGCGGTTTTACGAACATATTCCCAAGGTGTCAGGATACGTGCAAAGGCTCATGTGCATACAAGTATAACAACATGGGCGAAGCTGCATTGCGACTTTGCCGTCAGAAGTGGTGAAATCGTCCCCGGCGTCTCTAGTTACCCTTCCAAGTTCACAACTGCCGATGTATAACTAGAGCTGGCTTTATATACTAAAATCTTAGGAGAGGTGTCCAGCAAAGAGGGGATTAAAAGGTAACTTCGGCGAGGTTGTCTTCAGGATATAGAAAGTCTATAACGACCAGCCTGAAGCTACCACGGTGAGAGCTTGAGCAGTGAGCCGGCGATCATGTCTCTTTTGACTTAAAGTCTACACTTACAGAATTCCAAATATGCCTACATGTGCTCCTCCTCACCTACAGATGACAAATAGCGTGTCACAGACAGTCACGAGAACTATCTGCGGAGCCAATGAGATGTTGAAGACTGATGAATTAGCATCTTTAACAGCAGAAAAATGAACGACTTCTTCCTGTCCGGACGTATAGTACGGCAATATTGAAGCCGTAGGTCGACAAGTATTAACTACAGACGTAATTGGACGAGATATACGCCACGGCCTGCCCTACCATTTGGGATTATTTGATGCGAAGATCAGAATCGATATACTGTAAGATGAGGCAAATAAACCGAATGTGAGATAAACAGGTACACTATTCGGGATAATAGCTCGAGAGAAGGGGTAGAGAGGCATCGGCTCTTCAGACGAAATAGAATGAGGAAAAAGCACTACCATGACCTCAAAAAGACCTACGGCTTGCCTTTGCTGATTCTTAAAGTGTCACAGCTATCAGCACAGCGCGGGTAGAACTCGCGAGAATTACCAGACTGATCGTAGACGACGAAGAAGAACCCCCAGGAGTAGTTCTTGTGCCAAAGATTGGGGCCGTTATCAAGTGATAAGCGGGTAAAGCATTCGGTATATTTATGCTCGTTGATGTTGATTGTTTTGCAGACATAGATGCTGCCTACATTCCCCTGGTTCTCTGGGCTGGCGCCCTATCAATGAAAATAGGTGCACGGCATTCCTTGCGAGTACAGACCAGATCAACAATCCAAGAGAGGATCAGATGAACCACAGTCAAAGCTGTGACAGTCAAGCGTGCTAATATGGAGATTGTCGTTGATGGCAAAATAGTAGTTGTCTTCGTCGTATGTATAATCGCCCACGACGGTCTTGACAGTGCCGTTGACCGTGTTGGCATCTGACCGTAGAGTCAGTTTCTCGAAGAGAACGTCTCGCGCTAATCTTCCTATGAGGTCGACTCGCGAGCGGATATTACTGCTGCCGCTGGTGTCAACAGTAGAGCCGTCTGGAAGCTCGAGGCAGGCACCGGTGTGTTTGGACTCGGCCGCGGTGGTGACACAGAAGCCATACTTGGGGGATTCTGCTTCACGTTGGCAGTTGCTTTGACCTCAAGAGTTAAGGAGCTCCCGATCGTGTGATCAAGAACATTTTCAGTGAATAGGTGGTCCGAGCCACCGGAAAGGTCGGACAAAGAACCGTCGCAGTCGAGGGAGCTGAGCTCCCCGTCGACCCATACTGAAGAGTGTTGTCACTTGTCAGTTTGCAAGACAACCCCGACCACGATCAGCTATGATGGTGTTGCCGATTTTAAAGCGACCGAGTATCTTCTCTTGTCAGGGCTGCTGGTGAGGCGAACGGATGCTGCTGGAGTCAAAGTGATTCCAGCTACGATAGGCTCGGTCGGTGCGTCCAGGCTACAACGGTTGTGAGAACCTCTCAGCAAGCGACATTATCCATAGACATTGATGTTAGCGACGACGGCTTGTGCTATCAGGTCTGGGTGACGGATGTCAAAGGCGTTCAGACTCAGTATCTCACAGGAAAGGTAGAGGATCTGTCAGGCAGCAAAAGGATGAAGGCAAGTGAGATACCCCAAGGGATATCATCCTCAATTACTCGTACACTGGCACCTTTCGGCCCGTGAGAAAGTAAAGCCATAACGCCCAGGGCCGAACGATCGAGGTAGTTGACGTCGACTGGCTGCGGGCATCGAGCGATAATATGATACATCTGTGGTCATTAGGACACCGGTTCGGCCCCGAGCCCGTTGGCCAAGATGCCTTCGGCTCGTCCGCGGTGGGGATCCTCAATTAGCCGCTGCGGTCTACATTTGAGCAAACAGACGCCTCGCAGGGGAAGCGGCAGACTATGGGTAGCGGTGCGCTCGAGGCGCTGGAAGAAGAAGCGGCACATCTACGATGCGTTGCGGGACACAATCCGGCGACAGGCTGGAGGAGACTCATGGATGAGAGGTATTTGGAGTGTGTGCCTAGGTGTATTGCCATGCGGACGATGCTGAGTCGACACATATAACGCTGCTTCCTGGGGCTAGATAGCTTCTACAGGTTTGACCCAACAGCATCGATCAAAACTCTTTGAAGGCTTTCCTGGCAAATTGAGTTTCTATCTGAACACCAGCAGCAGAGTTGACGTGACACTCAACAGCTCCGTTCATTGTGTTGTTGCATACCGCGAGCGCGACTTATCCTCTGAGCCCTGAGTGGCGTGTTTGAGGCCTTTATCCGATGCCCGTGATTGAGCTGCGTAGAATCCACCGATTTCCTTGGAGGCAATCAGTATATACTGTATCCTTCTCTTACAGCCGGTATGACATCAAATGTTCTTCATAAATGACAATGCTTGGAGGACTGAGACCAGTTGGCCAGAGCTGTCTTGACGCGAGGCTGATGGAGAAGCCCAAGATTCCGCCCCGGCACCACCTGAAAAGAAGGATGTGTAGATAGCTTACTTGTTAATCTGGGATTCTCTTTTGTCAATTCATATTCTCTTAAAGAGCTTTATAGAGCGTTGACTTAGGTCAAGTCGCATTGGCAATTGTCATCGGGTTTGACCGCAGCTCGCTGTTGAACAAGCCCGAGAGCCGAGGCAGAGCAAATCCGACACTGATTTGCTGACAAGTCGCTGACAAGAGCACCCCC